TAATTTTATTAAACATCCAACTACTCACATAAAATAATTTATACGAGCATTTCTAGATGCAAAAAAAAAAAAAACTAATAATAGTGTCTACATCAATATGATCTAACGTATTTTTCTCAATACATAAAATCGCTAGACTGTTCAATCTCTCTTGTGACACTGACAGCCTCAAATAAGTTTTCAACAATTTTAAATTCAAAAAACTTCTTTCAATTGATGCAACTGTCACCGACATAGTTAAGAGAATTCAATAAGCAATTGAAATATTTGGATAACAATCTACAACCTTGAAAAACTTGAGAATTTCCAATACTGACATTAACTCATTTGGCAAAGTCATTTGTAACACTTTCAATTCTGAAAAAAGATCTTCTGCATCAATATCAGGCAAATCATTATGAGAAAAATAGTCTTAAAATTTATGCAAGATTTTAGTAATTCATCATTGTCCAAACATTTTAATTTTTTATAATCAAATAAAAATCTAAAATATTGTCAAATAACTTTAATTGTTCGAATCTATTTTTCAAAGAAGTTATAGCTAAATCTACAACTACAAGAAAATAATTAATTATAAAAGATTCCTTATGTGATTGTAATTCTTCTTCATCATCATTCTCATCAAATTCTATTCTTCTAAACACATGACGTTTTGTTGGAAGTGTTGGTTCTATGTTCATATCAAATGCCAAGTTTTTAGCAATATTCATGCAAGACTCAAAACCTTCATTTTATATTTCTCAAATTATAACATTACATTTTCCACTTGGTTAATAGTAGTTCCAATGCACATGGATTTAGATTGTAATTTTTCACTCACCTTATTAATAGTAAATAAATTTCATACTAAATCACTAAGCTAAGTAAGAACTCAAAACTTCACTACTAGAAAACCCCTTTAATGACATGCATTGTGCGTCATCTATGGGTGCGGATGACACACAAATGCCTGTCATTGAAGCCACTGACATGAATTTCAGATGACATGTAATTGTGTGTCATAAATCTATGACGCACATTTATGACACACATTTATGACACACATTTATGACGCACATTTATGACATTCATTGAGCGTCATTGAAGCACCCGTCATAAATTAAGATGACACACATTTGTGTGTCATAAATATATGACACACATGTATGACTTACATTGCGTGTCATTGAAGCACACGTCATTAAAAAAGATGACACACATTCATGTGTCGTGATTGTATTTCGTAAATTATATATATATATTGTAGATTGACAAATAATCAAACTAAATCGCATTTAATGCCTCATAATACTAAATATATATATCATATTATATATAAGCAATCCATTTGCATACAATATATTCACATTAAGTTATCAAAAATATTGTAATCATATGTCGATACAAAATATCATGGCATAATAAAGTTCTACTAATATGCCCTCGCCATCCGGGCGTGTACACAAGAAATAATTCAAAATAATTGAAAATAATTGTAACAGTTAAAACTAGTTGCAATATATAGAACAAACACATTCCTAATATGTACATTAAACTTCTGAAAACACCTTCCTTGGTCCAGTATATTTATGCACAAACATGCACTCATGTTTCAACAAACCAAGTGACAATTTACTTTTTGAAACTCTATCAGATTTTTCAGCAACTTTGTATTCTCAATCCAATGGAGTTGAGGCTTCCTGATTCTAGTTGTGTTTCATCAATCATCAAGTTTGAGTTCGCAGGTAGCTGAAGAACTCCAAGAATCAATATACAATACAACATGAAGTTATTTAGAAAAGAAAAAGCTGAAGGTTCCAAGATGCTTTCTTAATGCTTGCAGATATTAACTTCCCCTAGTTGCAGGGATACGATTAAGGATACCTATTTGTTTGATATTCCTTTTTTGGGGCAAGAGAGGCAGTGTTTAGATATTCCAATGGAGAATATATCGGTAATAAAAATGGAAAATAATCAGCCTTGGTTGAAAAGATAAGAACAAAGGGATTAAGAATCATATATCCCAAGAAGCAATAATATAATACAAATACACCATGTATATGCAAGAATAATCAACTAGAAATAAGACACACAGATCTAGTAAATATCTTTATAAAAATAAGCAGCAGATTCTCAAATCATTCAAAAGAATTGCAAATTTTTCATATACAAATATAAGAATTGATCTCAGGTCCCACATCCATCCAATTTCTCAGTACTAATGTGGTTTTACAAATAAATCCAAATAAAACTGCTACATGAAGCATAAATTTTCACTTCTAGAATGTCCTACAAAAAGAAATGAGCAAACTAGTTGACTAAAAACAATATATTTCATTTGGAAATCCTTCACAAAAGTTCAGCAATATAGAATCTAACTTCGCCTAGCTAAAGGCCCATAATGTAATAAATTGTTCTAAACATAACTAAAAACTGAGCTTATAAAATTTTAATTCAATCAATGTAACTTATTTAGCTTTAAACTAAGCAAGTCCATTCAAGCAATTCATGCAAATAAAAATAGTTGTATAAATTACCTGCTGAATGTCTGAGGAGAAAAAGCATAGGTGATTTCTCATAAGCTCCATCTTTCATCTTTGAGTTCATGAGACTTAAGTGAAAAAGGTTATCAAGCTTGATCCATTGGAAATTTTCAAATAGAAGCTTAAACAAAGATGTGAATTTTTCAGAAATTATAACTTCAAAGAAAACACGCTGACACATCTCAGTGGTGGTTTGAGGTTTTAACTCGTTAAAGGACCCATTAGATATGATAGCCTCCAGCTCCTCAGAATCCTGTAGATGAATCAGAAAATTAATATGCCAATATATCATAATGAAAATTGACAAGAGAAAGATCAGTGCAAAACATCATAGACCATGTGGAGTTTAGATAAAAGCATAAACCTTAAATGTCACATTACAACCATTTTATCGGTGAAATAAAAGTGCATCTTGAATGCAACGTTGTATACCATCTTCATCACCACTTAATAACTGATGCATGTGCTCCAATACAACATTAACATTTCTCCACTTCCTTTGTGGACAATAATTTTTGTCATTTAAAGAACCACAATGATCAGTTCCAGGAATAGTGACCTGCTCACAGTAAGTATAATCATTTAGCATGTCAAACTGTACTTTGTAGTCTCAAAAGCCAAATATCTTTGTTTAAAAGAACAAAAAGACAAGAACTTGTCAGCTCAAAAGGAATATTGGGTATTCACGGAAAAAGAACACAGAAAATACATATATCTCAATAACAGAGGGCCAAATTATAAAATCTTGCTGTAGATAATTCAAAACTTTTCCACTTTTATCGTCCATGCGTTCTACAAAAGGGTGGCATACAATATCATAGCTTGCCTCACTAACTTCAGAAGCTTTTGCTTCTTATTTACCAAAAGGTAGCTAACAACCATAACGCAAGAATCTATTTATGTGGTTTTATATGTAATGCTGAAAAGAATTTATTCATTAAAGATGTAGGAAATTTAAGAAATAGAACCACGAAACTAGTAAAAACAACTATAACTTTCGATTATCAATGTGATACAGGATAACAGGATTAAAATTCTCAAATACATCAACCCCTATTCATCTGACCGACATGAAAGAAATACACTGAAGTTACCATAAAAGAAAATTTAACATTTTTACATCCCATGCCCCTTCACAGTTTCAAGTGCAACACACATCTTGATGAAACCTTAGAGAAAATGCTGGACGGCTAAGGCCAACTTTTAGGAATAGTTTTAGAATCAACTCATTGGAAAACAATATCGAAACTCATTGCACGAGAAATAATATTTGTAAAAGAACCACCTTCATTCAACCAACAAAGCCACCCAAAAACCACATGAGTTCCAAAATACCATCAACAAGTAACAACTACCCATTATTGTGAATTTCTAGGCATTACAAGCCTACATATTTATGACATACTATGCACGATAGCTATAAACTTATAAACCTAATACAATAGCTTGAATTTTTCTTTGAAATACCCAACAACCTAATCAAATCTTCTCCTCGTATCCATATTAGAGCTTTCAATCTAATTGCAAACAAGTTAATCTTTTTCTCAACGACCCAAATGCACAATCTGTAAGCTCTTATAACTAGGTTAAAAGTACCAAAATAAGCCTATGCCCATTCAACATTATACATTACAATAACAAAAGAAAGTTAACAGCTACAACTGCAAACATACATATTCAGACATGTTTATCAAAAGCTACCTGGTTTGCCAATGCTTTCCCACCATCTAGCACTTTGACCTTTGAAGTCAAACTTAACTGCCTGCATCTCTTATATGTTCGGAAACTCTCACTTGCTCCTGAACTTCCATCACCAGAATCATTCATACATTCATATCCAACCCCATTATCCACTGGTTTACTCTTGGAGGACTTAATTTCCTCCTCACTCTCTGTTCCTTTACCATTTCTTGTCCCCTCATCAAGACCCATTTCTACCATTCAAAAAACCCTAGTTTACAAAGCATTTCACCCCAGAGTTTGGGTTTCAGTGTAATAAACCAGCATCATCTTCCAAATTAACATAAAATTATCACATAAACACCTTAAAATCATCAAATTCAGTGGGGGAAAATCTGTTATGCAACTAGGAAATCAAATAAAAAACCAAAAGAAAATTGAACTGGAAATAAACTATACCCTGCTGGTTTGCTCTCTATTTCCACGAAAAGAAGGAGAAAACATAGAAATTTAATCAAATAAAGCAATGTAATCTAACCGACCTTTAGTATTTACTAATTTTAAATAATTTAAGGTTCAAGAATTATAAATGTGAATCATTAAACAACTATGTCTTCTCTCTCTCTCTCTATTTTTCTACCTACATTTTTGAGAACCAAACAGAAAACAACAAAAGGAAAACTCTTAATAGAAATGAAAAGAGATTAAAGAATGTTTACCTGAGATTAAAGTTAAAAACCCTAAACAAATTGAAAGAAAGTTTTACTATTACTTTTTTCGGAAACTTTGTCGTTCCTCCAATTGAATCCTACATGATAATAATGAGAGTAATGAATCAATCGCGCTCTATTTAAAATTTGAAACTATTTTCCCCTCCTTCAAGGTTTCAAATTGAGATAATACCTGAAGGATCCGAGAGTTAAGCTTGACTTCTGAAAGTTGTTCCACACCAATCACCTACTGACAATACAATATCAATTAAGTCCAAATTCTAACTTTGGGGACTGAACGATAATCTAATCAAATAGTTGATCAACCAACAAAGCCACAATTGGCAAACATACATAAAAAGCAAAACTACCAGCAACAAATAAGCTCCCCTGAATTCTCCCAAAGAAAACCATTTTTGTTTTCAGTTTATACTGAACTAGTTTATATCCTTTCATCGAACACATGATTAACCAATAAAAGGAACAATCGGCTTTTCACCACTATCATATTAAAAAAGTCACCAATTTAATATTTTTAATCTAAAATACTAAAAATCGATCTGATATATTATTATATAACGTTACCATTTATCGAAGTCAAAAATAGTATCAAATCTACACACACACATATGTAACCCAGAAAAACGAAAGAAAAATCAAACGCAAACAAAAGAAAGGTCAGAAATACCTTTGGGTAAACCGTGACGAGAAGCAACAAAGAAGTAACCAAAAGCAACAGTGGGGAAGCCATACCCTCCGTTCCCCAAGCAAATGGAAAAAAGAGAGGATATCGGGATTAAAAATGGGAACCTTTGATAGACTCGATTCCTGAAACAGGAAGTGGAAGAGAAAAATGGGGGAAGCATGTGGAGTGAATTTTGTTATCGATGGGGAAGAAGTGGGAAAAGGATGAAAATAATGGGGGGAAATTAAAATACGACTTTTACAAATGACACACAATTAAAACTGTACTCCGTGTTTTTGCAATTTTTTTGGATTATGACTATTAAATATGACACACATTATTGTAAGTCATAAATCGTTCAGATTTTAAAAAACATGACATTTTTTATGACACATATTTTTTGCAAGTCATAAATTAGCGTGTTTCATCGCTCGTGTGTCATTAAAGGTATATTTTCTTGTAGTGCTTGCAAGGAAACGAGCTAAACTTTCTGCTTTATTTTTTGTCTTGGCATCTTCACCATTAGAATTATACAATGCTAACAAAGCTATTTTTATTTGAGGTGCTTGAAACCTAATAGCTTTAACGCTTTTTATTCGACACTCTCATTGAGTATTACTTAAAGATTTCATTATAAAATCTTTAACATTGTCAACTAAAATCTTCCATTTTTAGTAGAACTCGCAAATAATGTGTATATGTGTGTTGCACAATTCCGAAAAAAGAAATAGCTTTCACATAAGAATGAGCCATATCTAATAGGTGAGATTAAGACTATGACAAGCACATGACATATATGAAGCCCTTGGATTTATTTCAAGTAACCTCTTTTGAATCCCTTGGTATTTTCCTTTCATATTAGAACTATTGTCATAACCTTGACCCCTAATATCATTAACATTTAAATCAGTGACTTGCATACACTTAATAAGTCATTAAAAAGTCCCAATCTAGATGTATCATTTACATTTAAGAACTCTAAAAAATTATCTATTTTTATTTCATTACTTGAAAAATTTACACATTGTACTATCAAACTCATTTATTCTTGATGACTCACATCTATGGTACAATCAAGGATCATAAAACTTCTACCACTATGGGCTAAAAGTGAAATCAACTATTTTGAACTTGAGGACCGAGGTAGTGATAATGAATTTCTTTGTTGTGGAGACGTCTAACATGATCTTGTATTATTAAATCAAATTTAGCTATCATTTCAATTAAACCTAAAAATTACCGTTATTATCATTGTAAAGTTTTCCATTTGATCCATGAAAGGCTGAATTATTTTTGGTAAGACATTTCACAACTGATATTATTCTTATTAAAGCTCATCTCCAACACTCTTTTTCTTTTGAAATTTCTTCTTGCAAATCTTTATCAATACCTTTATTTTTTTTCTAATCTTATTTCTGTTTCATTTCAAGTATTCATATTAATCATATTGTAACACCCCCTAATTTTAATTTACTTTTAATTTAAATTTATTTAAATATTTTGGGGATTACTTTACAAAGTTTTAAAGACTTTAAGTAAGTTTTTGAAAACCCTAAAGTTTAGGGACTCATTCCCTAATTTGACCATTTTTGGTTAACAAAGAAATAATAATAATAAGTGTTTGGCATGGTTTGAAATATGACCAATCGGAAAAAAGGGGTCCACGCCTTAGCCACAAGGCTAGGGCACTGTTTGTGACAAAAATAGATAAAAAAATTCAGATATCAATTTAGATTTTAAGAATCCTTTCCCCAATCAGAAAGCAAACCCAAATCCTTAAAATTATAAACCCTTCCCCATCATTCACACTTTATCGTCAATCTAAGTTGTTTTCGACCGTCGTGTAGTACACTACTGGTACCATCGTGGTCGCTATCCACTCCTGAGAAAAACCCGATCAATCGATCATCGTAAAGGCCCATCGTTCAATGTAAATTGACCATCGAAGGTTCATTAGAGAACAAAAATCACTGCCGTTGTTTTCATTTTTTTCATAACGATTCTGACATCTGTTCACTGCACCATCACCGTAGGGCTACTTGTCCGAAAGCAAAGTCTGACTGGTGTTTCTCTCTACCGCCATCGTTTTCTCTTATCATCGTTAGGTAAGCTTTTGATTGATTCATTTTAATTTTCATTGATGTTTGGTTGGTTTATTGGGATAATATAAGTTGGATTTAGTGTTTTAGAGTATTTCATTTAATCGATCGCCTTTTTCAACCCACGTCACCACTACACGCGCTGCCACACGTCACCCTTACATGTGGTGCTCATTTGCCAACCTGAATCTTCTATAAACTAAGTCAACTCGGGTCGAGTCAACATGAATTAGTCTTAGTCAACTCGAACTGGTCTGAGTCAACTCGAACTACACTGATCATCACTTTTACTGAATCGATGACTTCGACCAGTGTTGACTTTGACCAAAAAGTCAAAATTTCTGAAAAGTCATATTTTATATTTTATGACGTCTTAGTCTGATCCGAAGTCTTTTTTTTCTAAATTCTAACTCGAAAACCTCTAATCGAACGTTAAACCTTGAGAATGAATATGTATTTAATTATTTTATTTAGGTGCATATAATTTAAGGAAAATGATTGATTTATGTTGTTAATTACTGAAAGTACTCAAGACTCTCTCGACCACTCCTCAGCTCGACCTAACTCTTCATGATCTGCCAGACCTGTGAGCCTGTGATTACACATATAGTTCTTAAACCCTATAAATAATTAGATTTAAATATTATTTCAATAGTAACCCTGAATTCATTATGGATTAGGTTTGAGCACTACTATAGAGTATGGAAACGCAGGTGCTCAGTAGACCTCCCTAACTGACCCTTTTGAGGTGTGTTCCTTCTATGTTATATCATTGTTTTACATGTTCTAAAATATAAATGATTTATCTGTTTTGAAAGATGATTGTTTATCTGATTGATTTATATATACTTTGTCTGATCAATATCATGATTCCTGATTTATTGATTACAAATTGTGTTGTGTGATACATGTTATCTGAATATATATTTTTAATAAGGAAAATTAATTATAATTATTTTGTGGAATTAGGAGTTTTTATGTTCTCTCTGAACTGTTTATTGGGGTACTATTTGGGTATGTGTCTGGACTTCTGAGGTTCAATTAGCAGTTAAATCCTTTCTGTTCTGATAATTTTTATTGGAATCTGGGTATAGGGTAAGTCTTTATGTATGTAGCTTTGTAAAACTGCATTTTGTTTTACAGGTGGACGGTAGTTATCTATTCTAAATAAACCCCACTAATACTTTTATAGTATGTTACTAAATTATTTTTCGAACTCTTCTGTATGTTTTATATTGCACTTATTGGAACAGACTTAGCTCCTTAGCTCAGCCCCCAAAACTTTTCCCCTTTTAGATATTTTTGGATAGCACCCGGAATAGACACTTGGAGGATCGACACATTTCGTACCGTACTGTTGTTGTAATATTTCTACCTTCTAGATTGTCTTTATTATGGGTGACATGTGCCTATATTTTTTTATACTTGTTTTAAGACATCTTTTGTTTTACTATGGATGTATGGATTCTCTTGAAGCTCATTAATTTGGTATTTTACACTTATGCACGATATTTTATGATTCTGATATTTGATTTGGAATTTATTATTTTGAATTATGTTTAAAAAAAAGGTTTTTAGTTACATATGATTTCAAAGGTTTAGAAAATATTTTAGAAACATTTTAATGTATTTCACTAGACCTAGTCGTGACGCATAGATTGGTATAGGGTGTACATTTCATTGGTATAAAATCTTTTGGTTTTTAAAAATTCAGACTATGAACGGGTCCAAAATAAAAGCACAATTTTGAAATATTTTAGAAAATCAATTACAAAGGCCATGTCACCAAGTTTTATATGTTTAACTGTGTACGAGACTCCAAGTGCCAAATTTAATCCTAGATTTAACTTTGTAGTGAACCACGAGATTTTCTGAGATGAGTGCTAGATGTGGTCATTGACCTTCCCATGCATGAGGTCGACCTACAAGATTTGCTGATCCGATTGAGAACCCTTCGCTGCCAACATAGATCCTCCCGCCCCTTCTGGCCTTTGAGTTCTGATAGATTCATCGCTTGCTCCCGGTATAGATGACGAAACATGTTAGAGGAGCACCAGTTGCTAGGATTGAACATACATGACTTATTTTGGATGAGACGTTGGGCAGGCAATTACTTCAACTGATTCATGGTGTAGTCAGAGCAGTGAGTACCACATATGAGGTTTTCATTTTATAGATCATGATTGTTAACGAGGTTAGGACATTTGGAGGCCCGACTGGGTAACTTCTATTGAGGCTGAGGATTGGATGTATGATACATAAAAGAAATATTTGGGAGATGTTTCGATGTTAGATGAGAACGACCACACCTGGTGGGAGTTTGTTGTGAGCAGTGTTCCTATTGATCGTCTGACTTGGGATTTCTTTAAGGAGGGCTTTAGGAAACGTTTCCTTAGATAACGTTATCTGGCTGAGAGACGACAACAGTTTCAAGATTTAGTGTAGGGAGATATGACAGTCTTTAAGTAAGAGGTGGAGTTTTTTAAGCTAATAAAGTATAATGAAAGTTTGGTTCCTACTGATAGGGACAAGTTCCATAAGTTTTCTCGAGGACTCAAATATGAGCTGTGTAGGCAGGTGGTTACTCATCAGGATGATATGTTTGATGCTTTGGTGGATAGAGCAAAATAAATTGAGGAGGTTGAGGTTATTGCTCCTGATAGAGATTGAGTAGATCGAGAGCGATCTAGGAGGTCTTCTGGCTCGTCTGAGTCTTCTGCACGACATGGGAATAGAACTCATAATTCTACTACCTAGAGGAGTAATACTGATTCCAAGTTTACAGTTCCTCCACCCTAAGCTATTAGTCATGGTGATTCATCATGTTTTCCTTATGTACCTGTTTGCGAGTGTTGTGGAAATCGACATAGGAGAGAATATCGTAAGAATATGGGTACTTGTTAGCAATGTGAATCTAGTGAGCTTTTCCTTA